TGCACCTTGCTTGAGAGTCGCGGCGTGGACGGCGCCGTCCGGAGTGGGGATGCTGGCGCTGGAGGCGGTGCAAATGGCGGAGGGGGAGCCAGCGGGGGACTGATGGCCAACCTGGGTGTCCGATTCGCCGGTGACCGGCTGTTGTCTCGCAGAAGAGCCTGCTGTTCGGTATGGAGCTTCCTCATGACCTCATCGCGGATCGCCTCGTCGATGCGCTGACGCTGGAACTCGTCGATGTGTGGACTCAGGCGATCCGGGTCGCTGGACTTGCGTAGCTGTATCGGCTCCCGCAGGGATGAGGCGGCGGGAGTAAGGGATGCGGCTGCAGAACGAGGTCGTGACGAGACGCTCAACGGCCGAGGTCCGTCATCGTTTGCGCTTGTCGGCAGCGGTGGCAAGTCTGCCTTTGGTGGCAAAGGTGGTGGGAGATCAGTCGCAGCAGTACCCACCTCGTGCGCGGAAGAATCGATCACAGCCTCCAGGTCGATCACGATGCCGTGCTTGCCCGGCGGCATAGTTGAACGTTCGGGCGACGGAGCATGGACGAGCGAGTGGAAGGAATGTGCGCGAGAGGCGAGTGCGGCCAAAGCATCGCTGCGACTGGACGCTCCGATGGCAGAGAAGGGCCGCGACCAGCTCGAATCGAGCGCCGCTTCCTCTGGCGACGACGGCGCACTGGGCTTCGCACGTGCTCCTGGGCTTGTGGCGGATGTGGATGACCAGGACGATCGAAAGTCCTGTGCGATGTTGGGAGAGGCGACGTGAGGGAACCCCTCGAGCTGCAGCTTAGAGCCGACCAGTGCCGATGTGAGCTGGGAGACGCTGGCGATGGTGAGTGCGGCAAACACGATGGCGCCAAGAGCCGACTGAAGTGCTCGCGCCTGTACCAGGGCCTGTGCTCGTCGCAGCCCGCCGAGGTCTTGGCCGAGCGAGACGACGAGGAGGATCCTCGCCTGCATACGCAGCAGGGCGAAACGTGTTTCGTGCGTGCGTAGCTTACAGCTGAGCGCGCTGAGGCCACCGAGAGCTGCATCGACGAGCACAAATGGCGCCGTACGGCTGGTGCTGCCCTCGGCTGTGGCGAGGACGATGTGGTCGTATCTGGACTCGGGCTTCTGCAGTTCGCTGAGCGCGGCGCTGACGCTGGGATGCAGGGCGCCGCCTGGAGCAGATGCAAGCATCATGAAAGCAGCTACGGGTCCGGCGCCCGGTCGGCACAGTAGGCACTGTCGCTCGGGCGTGAGGTGATGTTGCTGCTCTGTACTCTCTTGCTGCCTTGTTGGTGCGAAGATCACGGCGACATGGTCGAGTAAGATGACGTAAAGGGAGCCCTTCTTGCCCGGCAGAGAAAGAAAATTGGACGATGGTCGAGCAAGAAGGTTACCACAGTTGGTGTGGATACAGAAGTAGGGACGGAGGGGAAGCGACAAGACGGGCTATGGAAGCCACGGGCGGGAAGAGGGGCCAAGCCATGTTTCGGGACATGGCGGCAATCGTGCCGTGATTCTGTCGGCTAGGTTTAGCGGCGCTTGATGAAACGACATGAATTGCTTCGCACTTACACGCGGCTGGGGAGCGCAGGTGCTCTCGAGGGGACATTGGCTGCGATGGGCCTAGCTCGTGCGGAGCAGCACAGCAGGAAGTGCAGCCAAGGATGCATACGATAGCCTCCTGCGCCCGCCCACGCTGCCCGCGTCGCGTTCGCCGCTGATGACTGCAATGTGGCTTGGGCATTGTATGCGCCGACCTTGCTAGGCAATGAGTGCTGCAGGCAAGGGCGGCAGAGTTGAAGGGCAAGCGATTTGGCCCCCCTTGCCGGGTTGCAGGCAAACGGTGGGAGCGAATTCAGGGTCAGACGTGCAGCTGCACTGTTGATCTTTTCGGCCCTCTGTGGCAGGTGGTGGTGTGCGCTAGTCCGGTGGAGCAGAGGTCTCGCTTAGCGGTGTCGGGCGCTCAAATCAAGCGCAGCGTGCATGGGTGGTGGATGAAAATCTTGCTCGTTTGAGCTGCGTGTGTGGCCACACCGGGGGCGATTGCCAGCAACGGACCATGTGGCAGGCAGCCCCGGACGCCGTTGTCGCCTTCTGCCCTCCGAGGATCGCCGTCTTGGCTTCCGCTCCGATACAGTAGCCAGGCAGCTGGACACGGCAGCTACTGTATGGCATTTGGAGTGGATTGCAGCCGGTCATGCTTCCGTCCGCGCGCATCGGTGGCGCTAGTGCTACCAGGCACTGCACGAAATCCGCCAAAGCCCAATGCACCGCACGTCCTCGCTTGCGGCCTAGTTCGTAGTCGGCAGCCCGATGCGACCGAGATCGCCCAGGGCTGGAGCTCTGCTGATCTTCTCTTTACGGTGCCATTTTTCGCCTTTTTTTTATCGTCTGCATTTCCAGGACCCCCTTTTGGGTTCGAGTTGTTTCCTTTCCTCTTGTCCATCGCCTCGTTTGAACATGGGCTGCTCGCCCGCCCGGCATTCAATTCTGGCTCGAGCCAAAGGGGAGTACAGTGCAAGCACACATGATGCCCTCGAGCCTGGCCCCGACTCAAGTTCGGAAGCACTGCCGTCAAAGCACATTCGAAATGCTTGGGAGCATCGACAACAGGTACTGCAAGATAGAAGGAGAAAGTCACGTGATGCGACGCGACGTGAACGCGTGTGTTTACGCGACGCATAAAGTGACATCGCGTCCGGCGGAAATGGGAGGCGAAGCGAGCTTCAGCTGAACGCCCTCCTTGCATCGGCCTTGGACATGGCTGCGAATCAACGACATTCCTCGTGATGACAGGCACGCACGCATTAAATCGAAGTGACGACGCTTTGCTACAGCTCGCCGAGGCACGAGAGGCGCCTTCTTTCGCACCTCTCCCTCAGGCAAAGAGTTGGCGAGGCGAGGTGGGGAAATCGCAGTTGCAAAGCGCGCACGCCGAGGGGCGAATACCTGCAATTTGGCAGCGGGGATCGGCTCGGACAAGGAACGCGCGCGCGCTTGGTGAGGGAGTGAGACTCGGGCGTCGCGTCCAAGCGCTCGCTCATGCAGCTGCGCCGCCCCCGTCGATTTGCATCAACGCCGAGCCGCTCGTTGGCGCCTTTTCTTTCCGACAGCGGGCCTCGCCGCGCTCGCTCGGGAAAGCAGCTGCAGACTGTTGCAATAGCGCGCCCTCCCGCTCGGTCATGCCAGCGTCAACGTCGCCCTCTCACCTGCCCGTCACGGTCTCCATTCTATCGCTTCGCGCTGCTTCAATTCATGCTGAGAGATTCCATGAAGATGGATGAAAGGCAGGCAGATGATGAAGCTTGCTGGTTGCGAGGGTCTTGCTCGCCGGGGCGATGAGGGCGAGGCAAGCTCAGAACGTGATTTGAAAGCAGTTGCCGCTCGGTCTCATCGCGTCGCTGTGCTGAATTTCGCTCCCAAAAAAAAAAAAAAAA